GCAAATTGTCCTGATGACTTCAAGAAGAAAAGTGCCTCTTTTTCAGCAATACTCAAGTTATGTATTAGCAAACCAAAAAAAAATTGATACGCCTTACACACACACATCAATTCTCAAACCTCAGTATCATCAAGTACCTGATGGACCTCCACTGGAATACTGCCTTTACCTTTTGGTACATTATTCAGTCACATGTCTATTTACATAAGTGAAAATAAGCGTAATATTACTCCATATAGAAATCCTCCTTCGATGTATGAGACCTGCAGAGACGTCAATCATTCCCTACAAACCAATTGTAAGCTTTACTGCTCACTCTTACCTACTGACTGATGATGATAGCAGAAATATCTGACTTCTGAACATGTTTAAAATCTCAGAGTTATCTGAAACGAAGACCGTTGCTGCCAGCAGCACATAAATTTCATTCAACTTTACTTTCACTTTATTGAACACCTTGCGAATGCACAATAACTGAATGCAAAAAGCATTTAGTCAGAGCTTTCGCTGATAATGAAGCATTGAGTCAATGATACCATTAAGCATGGTATAAACGTCTTTCGTTAACACTGACAATAAGTTACTCAGATTTTATTTATTTAAACTTTGATATGATACGGTGTAGTAAGGCATATAGAGACCACAGCACCTACAGCTTATACAGCTACACTGCCCGTACCAACCACATTGATTACATTCCTGCTGTGTCCATTGCATATTACACAATTACGGTAAACTGTACCAGCGATGGCATTGTCACTCCCTGTACAGGTGCTAGTATCGCTGAATCAATAATAATAACATAGTTACTGCCTCTACCTCCAGATTAAGTATGTTCTCATGCTGCCTGTACTAAGATGCAGGCAATGTCCACTTGTACAAGATCAGTTTCTATTGCTTAAATGTTTTCATAAACTTTCAAAATCGAACAAATAACTTATGCATAAAATGTAACATGGGGTTACCAAAATCTTCACATTGACTAAACTTTCTAGGGCTTAAATTATAAATAATTAAACATCAGAAAAACTCATGGAAGGCTTTGTGCTTCAGTTGCTGCAGTGGCTCAATAGTAGTGTTGTAAAGCAAATTATTTTTGTTCTGATCTGTAATTAAAGACACAAGTAATTTTATTTCGAAGCCTCTTACCTGATCTGTGCTGTTACTTTCTTCTGTGTCAATGAAAGTCTGCCTCGTTCTCTGCATGTTGCTTTTATTCTTCTGTCTATGGAATTTCCATTACCAGGAATACGTAAGCTTTGCTCCACAGATCAGAGCATGGGTTTCTGCTTCCTGATGTATTCTGACTGTTCATCTGCCTCGGGTATTAAAGATACGCCTACTCCCTGACTCATTACTTCAAAAAGAAAACTAGAAGCGAAGCCTATCAGAATCAGACAAAATAAGAGCCAGCAGTCACTCAGAAGTCAGACAAGATCTGTTTTTTTGATACAAACAACGTAAATCTTTAATGTCCATAAATCTTTGTCAGAACTGTGATTAATTGCGTTCTACGTCTTGAAAATTGGAACAATTAACACTGGCCACTGGCCACCATCATGTGACTTTTGTTTCCCCTTTAAGGAGCATTTTTACACAGTAACGCTCAGCCTGTCTTATGATAGTGGGAAATTCAGTAACCACGTATGTGACGTCTAAGTGATGCTGTATAACCATTGTTAAAATGTTCCGAATGGGTTCATATATGCGCAAACATTTTATTTGTGTCACCTGATCATCATCGATATTTAGAAGGTAATTGGTAAGAAGTGCCTGAGAAAGAATTTAAATCATTTTGAACAGATGGTGCACTGCCCTGTATATCGACCATTGATCATTATGATTGAATGGTTTCCTCCCACAGTCCAAAGATGTGCAGGTTAGGTGGATTGGCCATGCTAAATTGCCTGTAGTGTTGAAGGATGTGTAGATTAGGTGGGTTATAGGGGAATGGGTCTGGGTGGGATGCTCTAAGTGTCGGTGTGGACTTGTTGGGCTGAAGGGACTGTTTCCACACTGTAGGGGTGCTATGAATAGAAAAGTACAGCACAGTACTGGCCCTTCACCCCACGATGTTGTGCCAACCTATTGTCCTACTAAGATCAAACTACCCTGAAAACCCTACATTTTACTATCCTCCATGTGCCTATCCAAGAGTCACTTAAAAATCTCTAAAGTATCGACAATTGTCAGATCACTTTGAGTCATTTCGGAAAATGTCAATGACAAATGTCTCTAAATTATCTTCCATTGTCCTAGAAATCAAAAGTACACAACGGGGAAGGCAATGACTGTGACCACATCAGGTGTGGGTAGGGTGAGTGCCTGGACCTGGGTGGGAAGGGGTGGCAAACTCACTGATGTGAGGCGCTGTAGACCAAGAACATTATACACAGACCCATGCGCTTTGGAGAATACAGAGTTGTGGGCCCCCTAAACCCTGGCCATCCTAATGCATCTGCTCCTTGTGTGATGTACACCTCCCTGGGCCCCAGTCATTGCCGACCACTTCAGTTGCCCAACATTTTTGCCAGGGTGAGGAGTACTGAGGGGGTGCAGGAGGCAGCTTTCTGACACTGTCTGATGTCACAGTCCCGTCTTCCTCAGAAGTTGAGGATTAGCTTCTGGCAGACCGGGTATTTCTGTAATGAGGCTGTGGACAATCCACTGGAACCTGCAAGATACAAGAGACAGAGTGTATGGTGGCCTGTGGTTTGAAGTGGAGTTCAATGGACAACACTAACCATGCAGTTAATGTGAGAGTTGCAGTGGAACGAAGAATGGTATTTACATGGTGCAGGGCTGGATGAACACAGCAGGCCAAGCAGCATCATTTACATGGTTGCTGAGACATGCAGTTGTAGTTTCCCAGCAGAAGCCATCTTGGTCTTCTCCTGCAAGGAACAGGATTCTCTACACAGATGAAGCGAGAAGATTTAGTTCAGCAGCCCTCCACCCATCCAGGGTCTTTTCGGCCTTATTATGGACTGTCTTCTCCTGTGACCAGAGAAATAGAGGGACTGAGTGAGACGAAGGTGGGTGGCATGGCTGTTAGTGCTGGTGCAGCTGGGCAAATGGTGGTAAGGTGTCCCAGGTGAGAGAGTAAGCTGCATAGAGGGCATACAGGGTTAGTGGTGTGGGAGTACGGGCAAATGAGAGCATGTTGCATACAATAGTGAATGGCAGGTCATGAGGCCTGATGGGAGGTGGGTGAAGTAGCAGAGAGAAAGTGGGTGTGAAGTAGTAGAGAGAAGAGATTGTCACTTGCCCTGGCAGAGCAGAGAAGATATAAACTTTCTCAATGCATTGCTGGCTGTTTCTTCATACCATGGGGATTGCACTAATCTGGGTAGTGACCTGGACCCAGTTGCCAGGGTTTGGTGTTGTGACCTCCTCTACTAGGCTTCCAGGAAAACAATGCTTCTCCTCTGCACCGTTCCCATCACCAGGTCCCTGTCACAGAATCACAGTGCCATCTTCCCCTTCTCTGACATCTCCTGACTGAGTATCCATCACTGAGCAGAGCAGTTTCAGAAATGAAAGTCCTTATCTGGAGCACAGTGGTGTGGGCACAAGGGATGTGGTTCTTTCAGCAGATACCTGCTGAGTCCCAGGAACAGCAAGTGGTAAGATGGATCTAGAATTGGCTCTGGGGGACACCATGGGACATTTGTAGCAGTTGTAGTACTGGTGGTTATCAAGGAAAGTTTGGTAAGGTATAGTGAGAAATCATGCTAAGTCTCACAGCAAAAAAATTCTCCAAGTAACTCAATGTGTCTGACAGCCAAAAAACATTTGTCAGATTCATCTTTCTGTTATCTGAAAGAGTGCAGTTGAATAAGTCTTCTTTCTCCACAGATGCTGCCTGATTCTCTGAGGATTCCCAGCGGTTATAGTACTTTGATTTTTAGAACGCTAGCTCTCGAGTTGTTTGTAACTTGCAGTGTCCACGTCTACTGTCCATGCCATTGTCAGCCACACTATTTTAGCACAGGGGCAATATTAGATTCACAATTCCTGCACTTCCTGTTTTATAGTTCTTTTTTAAACCTTATGAAGGTTATCACTTCCACAAAATGTCAGCAATAACCCATCAAGAATTAATCTTTTTGTGTTGATTATTTTCTTTTATACAGAGGTTAGATGTGAATGGTTTCAAAAGAGCAGTGAGAGATTCTGACTGTCAGCCTTAAGCATGTTCTGTTGGTTTGCAAGTCGATCACTAATCTGTAACCAACTGTAATGGTCTAGACATGTTTATTCAACCATGACAACAGCTTTAATACACTGTGCAGTCTGAATTATACTTTTTTTTTCTCAAACATCCAACAGCATTCAATGCTTTGTAAATGTCTGAGAGATTTGTGATACTGCCAGCATTGTTTAGTCACACATCGTAATTGGACATCACCTTTATAATGATGAGTCATTACTGTCTGCAAAAAATAAAGAACAACTACATATGTGTGAAAAACTTAATGACTATCTTTCTGTATGAATAGTCAAAGGTTTAGTCTGAGGACTCATTTGCTTATTTTTTCAGCTATACTTATCTCTTTACTCGGTATACCACAACCTTCACCCTGTGAGGTTTTTACATGTTAGTTGGAGGATTTTCCGAGAAATGTCTTTTAAAAATCCTCTAACAACAATGTTTTACTTACCCTGTCACAGGCTGACCACATCAAAATATTCTCTGTCCTGCACAGGTTACAATCTGTGACATCAGCTCAGGGATTTGAAACCACAGAAAATCATGGACAAATGTTAACGGCTGTAAAGGACATTACTCCACATGATTTTCTGAAGAAGGATCTAGGCCCGAAACATCAGCTTTCCTGCTCCTCTGATGCTGCTTGACCTTTTGTGTTCATCCAGCTCTACACTTTGTTATCTCAGATTTTCCAGCATCTGCAGTTCCTACTATCTCTTACTCCACATGTTCCATGTGCGTATGTGCGTGTGCACATGCGTGCACGTTTGGGGCTCTGTGTAACTGTGTGAGTCGGTGCATGAGTGTGAGATTTTGTGTGGGAAACAGGTTATGAATGTGTGTCGTCAGGTTGAGGTGGTATTGTTCATTATTTGTTTGTATGTGATTGCAGGAATTGTATTTTTCTGGACTTCAGAGGTTATGAGTTTCAGTGTATGCACTGGGGGGTTGTTTGCCCTCGAGGTTGTGGTGGGGTTGTACCTGGCTGGAATGATGGGTGTACGTCAGTGTCCAAGCAGGGCTTGGGGCTATAGAGGTGAACTCTATCCTTGGGTCAGGGGCAGGAACTCTGGGCTCACGTCAGGGGTGACGGGAACTGTTTTGCTGTGCTTGGGTTCAGGGCTGGGGCCATAGGCCCAGGCCACAATGAGCACACCTCTGGGCCCTCGATTTCCCTTCACATGCTCTCAAAGGGTTTCTGTGTTTCAGATTTCCGACTTAATGTTGCCTGTTACACATTCAGTGATTCAATGAAGAATGCAAGAGGGAATTAGTAGCAGCACTAGCGATACCTAAAAGTGAGGTGTCAAACTGGTGAAGCTGCTACACAGGACTACTTGAATTCTGAATGGTGGAAGTGTTAACTGATAGATAGAGCAAAGGGCTAGAGCCCACAACCAAACCTAAGCCCTCCAGTTATGAATGAGGCTGCACAAATAAACAACCCACTGGAGGAGGAGGTTCCACAAATATCCCCAACCTCAATCATGGGGAAGCCCAGATAAAGACAAAACGTAGGTTAGTAGAGCTAAGTGGATGATATATTGTGGTGTCTTCTTGAGGTCCCCAGGCTCACAGATGCCAGTCTTTGGCCAATTCAGTTGACTCTATGTGATGTTTAAAAATTGCTGTTTGTATTGGGCACTGTATTGTTAATTGACCCTGACAACATTCCAGCCATAGCACTGAAGACTTGACCTCCAGAACTAGCTGTACCCCTAGCCCAGCTGTTACAGTAAAGTCACAATGCTGCCACAAAGTAAAAAGTTGCCCATGTATGTCCTGCTGCCCAAAATGCAGGCATATCCAGCCCAGCCAATTACCACCCTACCATGCTACTCTCAATCATTAGCAACGTGATGGCAGGTGTCATCAGTCATGCTGTCATGTGGCATTTGCAAAGGAATAACCTCCTCACTGATGCTCATACCATAAGCACTTGGGTGGAGAAAATCAGAACATCTTAGGATTTCAAAGAGGATGGGCCTGTGATCCTATGTCTCTCCTCATAGTCTTTGTAACACTTTTCTGTTATAACTGTAATGTGTAGTTTGTTGCATGTTAGCAATCAGGTTTGTCTTGTTTAAGACAATAACCTGTTCTCATTAGATTACCTAAAGGTTCTCCCCTAGAAGTATAGAACAAATACGGTCTGCCAGAAAAAGGGTGAGGATGACATTCACCTAACCACATGTTAGCCGTAATAATAAAAACAGCAAGTGCTGAGGATAATCAGAGGATCAAGAAGTATCTGTGGAGAGAGAACGGAATTAGCATTTCAAGCTCCATGTGACATCTTTGGAACTGAAGGGCAGCGGGAGGGGTGGAAAAACAATGTTTTTGTTTTACATGTTGGCAATGGTTGGCATCACATCTTCATGGGACTTTGTGCCAGCGGAGGTCATCTCAAGATTCAAACTAGTTGCACCATTATGACAGGCTGCAGCACCAAATTATAGAGGAACAGCAATGCATGTGTGATTGGCCCTTTAAGAGGATGAAAAAATTGTTGCAATTTTCCAAACAATTTTGCAGAAATGCCAGACTTTGCATTGACCCCAATTTGATGCTTAGTAGATAAGGTGAGGTGGATAACAAGAAGATTGTCCTGGTCACAGACCGGACCCAATGTTCTTCTGTGACAGAGGCTGATTTCAGAATCCTGTGAAATCTCTACTCTTTGGGTTTGCTTGCTAATTGACAAAATTAATTGAAATATTGTGGCTGACTGATTGTAAATTAGCTTTCATTAGTTACAATATGACATTGCTTACACTGAGCTAGATGAGGAACTGGATTTGGCTTCAATTGATCAAATATTTTGTTGGCTTTAAAATGTTTAAAAGGAACCACATGGTCAAAAAAAGCACTTGAGGAAAATTTCAGTGGTGTGAAATGTTTTGAAAAGAAAATATATTTTATGATATATATGTAACATATATAATATATGTCAATGCCTGTTGCATGAGAACTGAAAAATAAACATCTTTAGCAGAAACTTAGAATCTTAAATGTGGTTAGAGCCAAGACAAAATAGTGGAGTATTAGGTCTCCACCTTTTCCTCGCTTTGACTAGACACTGAGATTGAAACGTTTATAATCAGATGGAATGTGGGAAGACAGCGATTTTGACAATCTTATCTTGCTTGATCAGGGAGATGATAAATAGCATACTTTGTCATTGAGCTGTTCAAATAATAGTTCAATTGATTGGGTTGAATCAATTTTTATAGGCTTTAATTTGTAAGAGAAGTACATGGGAAGATTACTGAACATAGAAATTCTAGGGTCTGCATTGGCTCATACAACAGGAGTCAGATCATGACTAGGAAGTAGTCAAGGTGGGGATCATTCTTCTACCCAGGATATAGCAGTAATGATTCTGTGCTTTGAAAGTACTTCTCAGAGATTAGTATGTGCTGAGTCTTATTTATATGAATTAATATGCAATTGTCACCACTTTGATGATCACTTTGAGTCATTTCGGAAAATGTGAACAATGGGTTAAAGGTTAAAGGTTCAATTGATTTTAATGATTCAAATTTCAACACAGTCAAGCTTAATGCTTTCTAAAATATATACACACTGTAGGCACAGATGCAGTTACAGAAGATTCCAAAGTTTAAGGAATTTTGCAAGATAAGACTGTTCAGTTGGATCCTGTATCAGGTCGATCACTCAAGAATCATTGTCTCATCTGCTGCCTGCCAATGTTTTCCACATTTACTATTCACTCATGCCAAAGGTTCACTCTGTCATTGTATTCTGTTCATTAACACTGAAACGAGAACCAGATCACTATCTGATATCAAGGATAGGATGTGGGTTGCCTGCATGACTTCTGTTGATGTTGCCGTGCGCTATAGCAAATGTTACTTTGCAGTGGTACTGATCGTAGAAACATAGAACAATTAGACTGCTCATTTCTCCCTCTGAAAGAGCTTGGTAATTAGACCCAATATGCCTTTAGAATCTTAAATGTGGTTAGAGCCAAGACAAAATAGTGGAGTATTAGGTCTCCACCTTTTCCTCGCTTTGACTAGACACTGAGATTGAAATGTTTATAATCAGATGGAGTGTGCGAAGACAGCGATTTTGACAATCTTATCTTGCTTGATCAGGGAGATGATAAATAGCATACTTTGTAATTGAGCTGTTCAAATAATAGTTCAATAGTTCAATCCCAAAAGGATTACAATTTTAAGAGCCCCTTCATTCAATCTTCCCAATTCATAATGGGTACACGGGTCTTATAGGGAAAGTAAATTGGACCTAATTCTTCCATAACCAAAATATCACTAAATGAGATGATTATAGCCCAATCCAAAATGTTTCCTGATTTGAATTTCAAAAACATGTTGCTTCCAGAAAGGGTTACCAGCTAGCTTGTCAAGGAGTAGACTTTAGCCAATTTTCTACAATTAACATTCCAGCTGTGGCTTCGGCTGAGATTGACTCACTCACTACAAACTAGGAATCAAAACCAGGCCCACGCTTTTCTGATAAAGAACAAAGAGCAGTACAGCACAGGAAAAGGCCCTTTCGCACCCCTCACCCCGCCCAAGACTGCACCAACACATGATGCCCTTCTAAACTAAAGATCTTTTGCCTCTACACAGTCCATATCCCTCTATTGTCTGCCTATTCAAGTATGTGTCAAGATCCCTCTTAAACGTTGCTATTGTATCTACCTCCACTACCTCATCTGGCATCACATTCCAGTCACTTACCACCCTCTGTGTAAAAAACTTGCCTCTCACATCTCCTTTAAACTTACCCCTGGTACCCTAAATCTCTGGCCCCTAGTGCAGGGAATTGACATTTCTACCCTGGGTAAAAGACTCCAACTATCAATGTATCTCATAATTTTGTAAACTTGGATCAAGTCGCCCCTCCTCCTTCAACATTCAAGTGACAAAAAAACAAGTTTATCTAATCTCTTCTCATGGCTAAAACCGTCCAAACCAGGCAACACCCTGGTTAACTGTTTCTGTACCCTTTCCAAAGCCTCCACATTATTCTGGTCGTGTGGCAACCAGAACTGTACACAATATTCCAAACGTGATCTAATTAAAAATCTATACAGCTGCAACATGACTTGCGAAATTTTATATTCAATGCCCAACTGATGAAGACAAGCATGCTATATGCCTTCTTGACCACCTTTTGTATTGCCACTTTTAGGGAGCTGTGGTCCTGTACGCCTAGATCCTTCTATATCTTAATGCCTCTAAGTGTTCTGCCATTTACTGTATTCTTCCCTCCTGTATTAGGTATTCCAAAATGCATCGCCTCAAATTTGTCCAGATTAAACTCCATCTACTATTTCTCTGCCTAAATCTCCAGCCTATCTATATCCTCCCATATCCTCTGGCAATTCACCTCACTATCCACAGCTCCTCCAACCTTTGTGTTGTCTGCAAACTTACTAATCAGACCAGTTACATTCTCCTCCAAATCATTTCTATATATTGCAAACAACACGGGCCACAGCACTGATCCCTGTGGAACACCACTGGGCCACAGATCTCCAGTCGCAAAAACACACTTTCACCACTACTCTTTGTCTTCTATGACCAAGCCAGTTCTGTATCCATCTTAACTGCTCACTGTGAATCCCATGTGATTTCACTTTTTATATCAGCCTGCTGCAAGCGACCT